GTCGACGAGTGCCCCTGGACGCCGACGTCAGTGTCGCGGCCGTCGTCGCGGCCATCCTCGCGGCCCTCGTCGCCGTGCGGGCCGCGCCGGTCCGGCTCCATCAAGGCCGGCACCGGCAACCTGGCGTACCTGGCGTCGCGGCGCGGCTCGGGCGCCTCGCAAGTGGCGTCCGGGGCCACGTCGCCCGCCGCCTCCGTCGAGGACGTCGGGCCGCTGGCCTTCAGCGCCAACCCGCGGCAGCGGCAGCGGCGCACGTCCAACTTCCTCGAGCTGCCAGGTGAGTGGTTCGAGGCTCCTCCAGTCTGGCCCGAGGCCTGTTTGCCCAGGGTGTGTACTTCGCTTCTCCCCCTCCCGCCCGGTCCACCCACCAGTGTCTCGCGGCGACCTTCGTCACTTCAAGGGCAATTTGTTAAATTGACGAATGCTTTACTGCTTTGTGCGGAGCGAGTCCGCAGCTGCGGTGCTCCGCCCCGCCCCGCCCCACCACCCCGTCGCACTGCCTTTTGGCCAGTGGGTCGCGGGGCGTGGCGGAGCGCGGTAGTGCGACCGCGCCACCCTCCCTCTGGGACTGTCGCGGGGACCGTTCCCCGCCCCCTTCGCCTCGCTCCGCGTCAAGCTTATCATATCCCAGAGGGAGCAGGGCGCGGTGTAACCCCTTCCCCTCTCCCCCCACAGCTGGCTCGCCGAGGTGCGCTGGGCTATCAACATCCATAACCCGTCACGTCCAGGGCAGCCCCCCGCCCAGCCCGTCCCCGGCCCCCGGCCGTTCCGTCTTCCAGCATCGCGCCCATCCCTGGAGGGACCCGGACCCTCCCCTCTCCCCACCCCTCGCCTCGAGCGCCACCCGCCCCACCCAGCCGCTTTCGACCAATCACTCAAACCCCGAGTTCTTCGTTCAGCTACGTCCATTTGGCGGGGCTCGGGCGTCAAAACGTATCGGATTGCACGACTGTTACGTGGGAGCCGTAGGAGCGCGCCACTCCTAGTCTCCACTTCCCTGCAACATCACATCACAGGCCACTCGCCACTCTCCTCTCACAAACAGAAACAGAGGAATAGCGTGTGTGGTGTGGGACGTGTGGTAAACAAACATGGGCGTCGTGGCGTGGAAACATTAACATTTGTCCTTTGGCGTGGAAAGCTCAGTTGGCAATCTAAAGGTGGATTCAGATTTTCACACAGCAGCTAGCTTGGAACGCGAGGTGAAAAGAGTTTTTTTAGGTTAGCGCACGGCACGGGCCAGCCGCTGACTGTTCTACGTAGGCCTAACAGCAAATAACAGGCAAAACTTTCGAACTGGACTTGAATATAGCGTGCTTTTCAAGCAGGAAAGGTATTCGTGAGCCCAGATAGCACCAGTTTTGCGTACAAACTTCGGAATTAGGCCCATCTCCAGATACGGTGTTCCGGGCTATCTAAACCGGAAAGAAGAACAATATACTCACTGATTTTCGCTGTTTCGGTAATCGCTCTGATTGGTGAAGTTGGTGGCCTTGCCATCTTCGTCCTTCGTTTCCGACGCCCAGCTGCTACCTATTTGAGAGGTTAGAATCGGACCAAACCAACATGAAAATGGAAGACTTGCTTAGAGTGATAGAGCGTAGGGAAACGAAACAAAGCAACATATTAACCTACGAGAAAAATGCTTCAAATCGCGGTTTTGGTTCTTTTCTCGTAGTGCTACCATGTAGCTGCATAGATGGCTATGAAGACGGCACATTGAAATTGAAACCATGTCAAATACTTCTTCCTGGCCGTATAGTGTAGTTTTCGTTGTGTTTCTGCACTATGTTCTGCGGCTCCGCCTCTCAGGGCAAGTTGTAGTTGTCAGTTGTCCATTCTCATTCTGCGGCTCGACGGTAAAAGTGAGTTTGTTCTTTTCTACTTCTGTTTTAGGTAGCCTTGAATACCGGTATAAAAATAGGGGCCCATATTTTCACAGATTTACTCCCTTGCAATGGGTGCGTGATACTAGAAATTTCTGGGAAATCAATGATCAATCTACCTCTAAATGAGAAGTTTAGAATAACTGAATCCGAGCTACGCCACTGCCGCGTCTGCTCGGTCTGACCTCCCGTAACCCACCCCGCCCAACCAACAGCGAGGCCGCTCGCCACGCCCCGCCACTCCTCGCCGACGTGCAAACACAAGCAAGCACGGGAATACATAGGAATCTGCCCCCTCCCACCGTTTCCCCCTTTTCCCTCTTTCTGGCGCGAGGTCTTGTGTAGGAGCGCGAAAAAGGGGTGAGGAGGACACAAAGCACCTCGCGGAGGGTTTACCGAGGTTTGCTCACTTATGCGGCATCTCTCTAAAATAAAATTCCACAGGCGGCCATAGCTTGCGCGCAGTAGTTCTTAGGGCAGCCGCGACGTCGCAGCGAAGGGCTTCCTCTGCTGACACTTGCAAGGAGCCTTCTGGGCTGGGCCTTCGGGCTGGCTCAAGCGCACCACCAGGCGGTGCAACCAGGCTGCACTCGGCGTGAGGGTGGGCTGCGGGACGGACGAAGAGTAACGCTCTGTGTTTGTTGCGTCGCTGCCCGCAGGTCGACGTCGGACCTCACGGACCT